AAAACAAGTGCCCTGCCTTTTTGGGGGCTGGGAGAGAAGGGAATTACATTTCTGGATAATGAAAGAACATGAGCACCTCGACCCAGCTGCAAGGCCCTGCAAGGAGGACGGCTGCCTCGGGGGTGGGCAGGGGCTGAAACCACCCGTTGGTGGGGAGCTGTGCTGGAAATCGGGAAGTGTCCTGGCACTGAGATTTGTGGGCTGGTCCTGGGGAGTTAACGGCATCGGTATTTGTTCCTGCCAAAAGTTTAGAAGGAAAAAAAACCTGATGCGTTTCTTCTCTTGAGTGGAAATAGGAGCAGGAAGGTTGCGAGCCCAGGGGAGATGGGGCTCTTCTCACAGCCTGCCCAGCTCTCAGGGCTCCCTCCCACCGCTGAGCAGTGCTGCATATCCAGGCAGCCCCTTGCACAAGAGGATGCGAGCAGGGAGCTGGGTCTGCCTCAGATATCACCATGCTTGCCCAAGCAGGCAGAGGGGAATACTGCCTTACCAGCCATGTCCATAGCAGAGCTGCACCCCGAGCAGAAGACTTGCCTGAAAATGCAACACCTCCCTATGCCCTGGGGAGTGAGTCTTGTGGGAGGAATCCGAGAGCGATGCCCTAAGTCCCTGGAGACGTGTCCCCAAGTCCGGTTAGAGTCACTAAGGGATGTCAGCTGCTGTTGGAGGGTCCGGTTGGCTTTTGCCGCCTCCAAGGAGCTCTGTGATGTTGGCTGGAGGGATTTCTGTTCCATTGTGCTCTGTGGTTCTTTATACATCCAAATGTGGGCTCCATAATGAGTTATTGCCATGTACATGAGTAGGGTCTCTCTACTTAAGAGGGCAGCATGTCCAACGGTTTAAAGAGATGCAACAGGTAAAGTGAGAAGGGGCAGAGGCATGGAGCAGGGAAAGGGCTTTTCCAAGAAGGGGACACCTTGGAGACAAGCTGGTTCGGGGCTAGGTCATTGGCAGAGCTGGGAGCAGTCACCTCTGGACTCCTACACCAGTGCTTTACCCACTACAATTGTCTCCCATCCCTCTTATCCTCGCTGCCATGCATTTGCATTTTCACAGACCTGCATTTTGCATTTTGGCTTCTGTTCTGCCCGGGAGAGTGCACAAAACACCACCTCCCTATGCCTGAAGAAAGGCATTTGTGCCCGAAAGCTTGCAAAGAACAATTTTTCCAATGATTTAGTTGGTCTAATAAAAGAGATCACATCTACCCCCTGCAGCGCACAGTCCTGGTTTAAGAAATGCACCCCCAAGGTTGAAGTCATGCTGAATGCGGCGTGCAAGCTGCCGGTGAGACTCTTTGTTGCGGGTCTGCGACATTCAGGATCAGTTGAACAAACAGAAGATTTGCTCTCCCAGCCCGGCAAAGGGCTACGCATAGCAATACCCACGCGGTGTGCGCTGCAACATTAGCAGATGTCTTCTGAGCAACAGCTATTTGTATTTTCATTTGTAATTCATTCTGTTTCAACAGACCCGCTGCAGGGCTCTGGCGGAGATAAGTCAGGGAGTTTACTTATGCCATGGAGAAGCTTAAATTGTGCGGGAACAAACAAAATGCTTCCTAAGCTGATGACAGAGCCTTGGATTTAAGGAAACGCATTAAAGGGTGTGAAATTCATGTCCACAGCAGCTGTCGGAGACCGGTTGGATCAGACACAATGGAGATGGTTTCAGTAGGGGAAGCAGGGGAG